TTCGAATTCGCTCAAGTTTTAGCCAAAGAAACTTCTACCCCGGGGCAATCTGGGGTGCTGAGCACGAATCTGGGCTCGGTTTTGCCGAAAAGACCGAAATTCAGAGTATTTCGAATTCCGCTCAAGTTTTAGCCAAAGAAACTTCTACCCCGGGGCAATCTGGGGTGCTGAGCACGAATCTGGGCTCGGTTTTGCCGAAAAGACCGAAATTCAGAGATTTCGAATTCCGCTCAAGTTTTAGCCAAAGAAACTTCTACCCCGGGGCAATCTGGGGTGCTGAGCACGAATCTGGGCTCGGTTTTGCCGAAAAGACCGAAATTCAGAGTATTTCGAATTCCGCTCAAGTTTTAGCCAAAGAAACTTCTACCCCGGGGCAATCTGGGGTGCTGAGCACGAATATGGGCTCGGTTTTGCCAAAAAACATTCGTACACTCCGTCCAAAAGTTTCCGCAGAAGGCGTTCGCCATCTGCACTTAGATTGCTCGGACAAACTAAGTGTTTTTTCCTGAGAACTGTGAGAAATTCGAGGGTGTGGGAGGAGTGGACCAGCTTGCATGTACATGCTTATACCTACCGGTTTCCAGAGCAAATTTTTGGGCATATATCGGGTACTTACAACAAAAACATCGCAACATACAAAGCAAACATAATACATCACATCAATAGATCGATGAGTATTGTTAGTGAAGAAGAGATCAAATTTTAAAACATTGTGCATATGTGTGAAGCATGTTAAATTTTCAAAGTACAGTTAATCATCGCATGGTCCGTTTTTCATTTGGAAAAGTAGCCGAAACAATAGCAAATAATGTTGCTGGTACTCACGCCCAAGTTATCTTCCAGTTTCGACATTTCGACATTTCCACCAAGGGAGTTGTTTCCAAGGTTTCACTGTCGGCTATAAAAGTGTCTAGGAACAAGACCAGTCAACATAGGGAGCAGCGTGAAGTTCTAGGTGGGTATCCTTGAAGTGCATCCAGCAGTTTGTACTACGAATCTGTGTGGAAAAGACCTGTATCCAGCGCACTTGTTCCCAGCAGCCAGAGGAAAGATATGCGCCATAACGAGGAGAAATCCCGCACGCTAATGGTGATTCTGCTAGCGAAGCCTGAGCACTATAAAGACAATTTTGGCGATTGATCCGTGCTTCTCTGCGGTAGCAGTTTTGAGAGATCACCAAGTGGCCACAAGACGATGGAATCGACCAAAGAATCGAAGTAGTAACAGGACGAGGGTTCTGGAAACCACGGAATGCATGAAAAAATGCACTTTGAAGCTGGTCCAGCGATCCAAAAAAATAGGCTACTTCTTGATAAGTGTTAGAAAAACGGACCAGCGAAACATCTGTCATTTACTTCTAGACGTGAGAAAATCGATCATCAAAATAGGTGAGCCGAGATGAATAGTTCAGTGAAAAGTGTGCGACATGAGCTATTTGAACGATAATCTGTGTGCAGGACAAGCCCTCTTTCCGTATTCACCCAGGGGTGTTTGTGTTTGCTCAATTTGGCAGGAATCAGCAAACTGCCTCTTCTAAAACAGTCAGTGTTTGTTGCATGAAAGTCTAACTTGGCAGACAATGAGAGCAAAGTCTTACAGGGCGGGGCACGAGGCGGTCGTTTTTGAGTACGTACTGTCTGATGTCGGCCCTGAACAATTGCAATCAGTTAATGATTTTGACTTGTTGAAGTTTAGATCATATTACTTAAAGTTTTCGTCTAAGTGAAAACACCCACAGAGCTCGCGCGAGTGCGCCTCGGAGAATAGGTCCCCAACACATGCGCAAGTCCTTTTGTGTGTGGAGCGCTTTAGCTCGTGCTGCATCATTGTTCCTAAGAGTGAGCCAAAGCTTGAAAATGGATTTTAAATGCAGTTTCTAGCAGCCATTCTGCCTTACCTAGTGGGATTTTGAGTTTGGCCTTCCACATTGGCATCCATTTCAGAGGCATATAAGTTCAAGCCGTCGAGGCAACATCCTAACAAAAAAGCTCAGACTTCTGGCAATGCTATATCTGGCAATTCATTCTAGTGTAACCGACCTATCAATGAATCAGCTACATCGGCTGGGAGGTCTTTGAGATTGGGTTTCTTTTGATATCTACCAGACATTCGGTACGTGTACTCTTGGATAACATGTACAGGATCACACGCCTAAAGCAGAAGGGGTACTGAACTTCGTTACAGTGGTCGCTATTCTATGGTCGAGCGGTCATAAAACTCATCTGAAGAAAGTACTGCCTGAAAAAATCGACACACTGTGACGCGTGATCCTCTGGACGCGCTCGCAACGTACGCCTCCAATTCTCCATCAAGTCGTTCAAGTTTGTTGCATGAAATGAGGACGCTAACATCTCATATGTGCTGCACCAAAAACTGCTCAACTAAAAGCGGACAAATCTACCTTAAATGGGTACGACTCGCGCACTGCCCACTGCATTAGTCAAGTTCCGTGCGTGCAGAAAAGTTCCATTCGGCAACTTCGGGTCAACATTTCTCGAAGCGACGGCCTCTGCGTGCAAAACTCGATCATGTAACTGTTTGATACACACCATCAAGACGTCAAACTGTAATATGGGACAAATGAACGATTTCGTGTGGTACGAGAAGTTGGCAGTATGATAACTAACAATTGCTGCTATTCCCACGATTGCATCCGAGTGTCTCGCAATTACGGCCAATTGAGAACGAACGACGGAATCAGATGACTGTGGTACGTCCGCAGAAGCCATTTGCAGCAATTTAGCTTCTCCAACATTGACGCGACACTCCCTCGCATGCGCGAAGTGTGTGATAAATTCCTGAAGCTTGCTGTGGAGCGTATTCGTAAGAGCTTTGTTGATAGAAAAGAAACAGACATTGTAATCTTGACCGGTGTCGAAGTGTGACAACGCTTCCCCTAAGTGCTCCAGCGAGATCTCATTTGATTGAGTTAGTGTGCGCATAACGGCTGCAATGTGAAAATAATCCGCTTTAAAACAATCTCTCAGTCGATGGGGCTAATTAAAACCTTGCGGTAAGGATGGACGACCTCGTGTTCGCCCTCCTAACGTGCCCTGCGTGCTCTGGTAGTGGGGAGCTCCCTTGGCGACATGAATGTTCTCACTGCCTGCAAAACCAAACGGCGGCTCAGCAACATCAATTGTGATTATAAAATGAGAACCTTGCGATGTAAACAAACCAGTTGTTCCAGTATTTTGGAACTCTTGGGATCCTGTAGACAGCTGAGATAAAGCAGGAGATGGAGCTATTGGAGAAGAAGTTTCCGAGCATCCTCTGAGGGAATTCAGCGAAGCGGTGTTTGACAAAGTGCTTGGAATAGACCGCTCTTCGAAGACGTTCTCATATTCATCCATATGCATTCTACCTAACTGAATCTCGAAACTATCATTTGGAATTACTTACAAACTGGCGAATGTAAATTCGCGGCAATACACCGTTCGTGGAAGTGAAACACTTTTAAACCATTCCTTTTATCTGCCATCTTCTAAGACGCAAAGGTTACGTATAGATATATAGCGCAATATAAAAAGGTTTCAGCTTCCAGGTCAACCAGTACACATTATATAGGGACACACGAAGTCAAACGAGATCGTTAGGTCAGAGGTTAAGGCAAAACTTTATGAAACACTTCCGATAGGAGGCATTGACGCGCTAGCGACTATGCGTTTCGCGCGAAACGTGGGTGTTCTCCAATCCCATAAAAAATAAGTGATGTTTTCCTGCTTCCAATAAACCGCCTTCCAACCTATACTGTTCTCCTGCTGCCGAAAAAAAAAACCGTCAGATGATCGCATTTGATGAGGCACCAAGCTCCCGTTAAGTAGTGTTTTCAACTCCAAGATTCCCCACCTCAGCCCCATCTCAAATTCATATAAGCGATTAGATCGCAGTGTCGCTAAGGTGCCAATGCTCCAAGGGGTTACACTAAAGCAAAAGCGATGAGGAACTGTCTCGACGGAGGCTAGAGACGGGACACGTATGACGTTGACCCAGCGTCAATTAGCAATGCTGGCGACATGATGTCATAAGCATTGCATAGAAGGTGTTCTCTACCTATGACTCTCTTTGAAAAAACGATTACAACGACGTAATATCATACAAAGCAGAGCGAGCTCGATTTGTGGCCGGTGGTTGCTACTTTGCAGTGCCGCACTGAGTGCTACAAAAGGGTCGTCCGTTTTATCTCTTCTATCAGGACACTGCATTCGTTTGTCCAAGGAATCGAATGCGAACACGATGATCTGACCGAAACGGGGGACGCCATCAACTTCCAGATAGACGAGATCCTGCACCGTGTCCATGCCCTTTTATAGTACACGGCCGATGAGTAGATCTTGCTCCCTTTGCACAAGCGGAACTGAAAGTGTACTCTTGCGTTCTCATGGGCCTTCTCATACAATTCTCATTCTTACCTGAAACTCGTAAGGTGTCGCCTTGTTTCAAAGTATTGCTGATGTTCTATGAACAGATCGTCCAATTGCAACATGCTTGATTGCGGCACGTGACACTCATTTTCAAGTATGCATCACCCGGAGAAGGCCTAATAGTTGAAGGGTTGATTTCTACCATTGCCACAACTAGTAATCCCAAATATAGGTTACCTAAACGTTTCGCCTGCTGTGATTTCGGCATACAAACGGTCCATGAACTTATTGCTGTATCGCTGTGTTTCCTTTTCCAGTTTGTCGAGCAGGTATTTGCGCATAACGAAACTAAAAACCGGAAGTTTTGTTCAGTTTATGTGAAGTGGGTACAATAAGTCTCCAAAATGTGCATACTTCTCAACGACAGCATCTTCGACGTTGGTGGTGCACTGGGAAATACGAAGCTGGAGGCGCCGATGCGTGCTTTCGAAGGAACTCGCACTCCAATGATATGGTGTTCCCGACGTCAAATAGGTCTTCCAAGGATTGCATGGTCGACAAAACACTGCAGATCAGTGAGATTGAAGGACTCGATTATAAGACACTTCCATACACCTATGCAAGATTTTTGCAAGGATGATACTACGACACTTACATGGACTTTAAGGGTGAACAAAGTCGGCTCCACCGCGTACCACAGATACTTCATCCCCCTAGCTAGTTCTTGGACTCCAGGGAAGTCGTTTACTGTCAGCTCTGTGCTCCTTTCAATGACTCGCACGAGTATCCAGTATGCAAGCACGGCGACAGCACCCACAGGATCAGCGCAGATATTCATCGCGGCCGCAAGAGGGAATACCACGAAAGAAAGCTGAAATGCACTTTGAGACTCTTAGAATGGACTCAAGCCTTAGAGAACACCACTGTGACAGCTTCCACTTACAGCGTCCTTCTCAGATCCGGTGGCACCCGAAAGATCTTCAAGTCCAAGAACGAACTTATCAGCGTATGTGTAATTGCGAGTGGCGGCTATGATGCGGTGGAACTCCTGCACGCAGTCCGAACGTACTTTCATCGCGGGCACGCGGCTTTGCGGAGAAAACATGGCTAAAGTGATCATTTTAGATAGCTACAGGGATAGAGAACGCAAACAGCGAAGTAACCTTTGAATATGTCGCAAGTTATGCCCTCTGATATCACATGCAGCGCATCCGGTATGCATTCATGCACCATTAAGATGTCCATCATCTGCGTCCGACCTGTACAGAATGTCTACTACAGCTTACTTATGTTGAGTGACAGCACTGAGGAAAGGGGTGGAGGTGCTAAATGCCAACAGCTGAACCTCTTACGCCTTGAGAGCGCGATATCGCATCTTGAGTTAGCGAAGCGTATGTGCGACGGTCTCCAGCAAAAGGGAATCTGGGAAACCAAATCACTCGGTGGCCAACTCTTTCGCCCGGGAAAGTACAGAGATGGCATCCATACAAAGACTGCCAGCGGGGTAAGTCGTACAAAGTCTTCAAGGCCTGAAACACTTCATACTATACAGAGATTTCATTTCCCACTGCCTTTTAAGCTACAAAACCCACGGCGAAATCGATGACACCATTAGCCAGTATCGGGGTGCAGAACCAAGTAGTACCGTTGTGTGATACGGGAATACCGTTCTCGCTCAGCATTTCGAGTTCTTCACGAAGACTGAAACACACCAGGTTCAACCCTCTAATAGGATTGAGTCGACTGGACTTAGTAACTAACTGACCGCCCAAACATTTCGGTAGAAGCTTTTCCGTGGGAGTTTTTCTTGTGAACGTGATTCCAGCCAAAAGTACGTTTTCGATCTTGTTCTTCTCCTTGAACGGAAGCCCTCGAGACGCATGTAGATAGGCCATGCCTCGGACCTTGAGTTAGTAGAATTACGATTAACTGACGCGCGACAGTTTCACTTGTGCCAAATTGAGTCACCGTGAAAGCTTCTTCAACTTGACGCCGTCGAAATTCAGAGTCAGTATGATCTTAATTTTACGCTCATCGAACTCCGTGAGCGTTTCAATGGCCCGCTTGTACCTTGGAAATGAGGTAGTTTCACAGCGCTTAGAACTCGCTTCCTGCAATGATGTGTAGCGGCGTACATGTGAGGGTACATGTGAACTCGGGCAAAAAAAAACCGGGAACACGCCTACCCCGCAATGTATTTCTCTGTGAATTCGAATAAGAGTGGGGAGAACCTTGTCAAGTATCAGCGACAGTTGAGGTTCGACTTGCAAAAAGTGGATAGCCGTTCTCTTCATGGCTTTGCATCCGCTTCGGAGGAATGCTACAATGAGCGCAGCTAAAGCGCGATAATACAGATGGTCAATTTAAAACCGACCCTTGAATTGCACAATCCGGATTCACACAGACTGCCTTAGATCCACTCAGACGTGAGTCGCAAGGGTTGCAATAGAAAAACTTTGTGTGACCGAACCGCTGGGGGGCATCATGCATCAGTTTCTTGATTGAGTTATTCGTCTTGAACAACCTTTATCATTTCGCTTTTAATTATTATGATATTTTTGTCATTTGTAGGGGTGTTGCTTTTATATTGTTTTCTGTTTGTGTTCACCTAGTTATTGTTAATGGAAATAAAAAGAAACAAAAGCTAGCAAAAAATGGAACGAAAAATTCTGGAAAGATAACGCAATGCACAAAAATGAAAACGAAACCAAATCTGAACAAAGGGTGGAGTTAACACTTCGACGACAGCCCATTGTTAGTGTTCCCAGCGTTTTTTTTTCGAATTTCCACAAAATCAGCACTACTCTTGCAACAGTTTCGTGGATGGAAAGAACAAGAATTTCTTTGGATTCAATAGATAGGGACGGACAAGGTTCTAGTACGGTTCCAGATGCTAGGCGAATCAGCAAAACAATGTCCATTCGCATAATAAAGCGACGCGCATGCGCGTCATGCTGTCGTCAATGTGTTAAATCACACATAATCTTAGAAACCTAAAGCAACAGAAAGAAAACCTAAGCAAAGCATGACTGACCGGCTCAGGAAGGACCACACCTTTCATGGCAAGAAAATCGTCCAGAAAACCAGCCATCTTTTCGCTCACCCCGAAATGTAATTTGAAGACAGCAGCATAAATCACCGTTTGTTGGAACGCTGGAGAGATTTGTTTTCTCGATACATGACTTTGAGAATCGACTGCATGTATACAGCATGTACAAGAATACTCACTCACTCGGATGTGAACTAGAAATCCTTGAGTGTCCTGAAGAGCAACCACATTTTCTTCCCGGACTTCATCCGCAGCCTCTTCAACTTCTTCTCGGTGTTCAGCCTCTAGTCTTCCCACTTCCACGACCATAGCCTCTTCGACCGCCCTCCTTTCCGAATTCGCAACTTGTTCAGCATTCAATTCAGCGAGCTGACGGGCTAGGGCCACGACTGGTGCTGAATAATCGAGGTTAAGTATCAGGCCATTACTAATGATCAAAACTAAAGAAAAATTGTTCTATGGGAGACTATAATGCGCTCACCAGCCATCGCTCTCAATGATTGACTTTTTCTAAGCGGTCTCTCATCTTCACTAACGGCTCCGAAGCTCTTCGTCGGCGTCGCGTGAACAAGAAGGGGCGTCAATAGTCCGCTTTCGGCTCATGGAAACACCTATACCTAGTTAAGACGTTCACAATCATCGAACAGACGTCACTGACATCACAGTTGGGCTATGGAATAATTGCGGTCACGGAACCCATACAGCAACGAATCAGAAGTTGAAAAATGTTTATTTATCCAAACACAAGCTAGGCAATCGTGCGAAGCCATTTTCTGGGAGAGTTGCTGTGGAAAACAGACGGACTCGATCCCCACTCCCCTCAGAGTTAGCGGTTATGAAGGGAAAGTTAGGAGAAGAATAGTAAATATTAGTGAGTCTCGGGAATACTTCCTGAACCTCGGCCGCACACCTGAACAAGGATTTGTTGTTGGATTCAGGTAAACAATTTCAATGTGATAGTCTCCAAAATGCGTACAGTGACACAGGCCGGCTCAAAAATAAGTGCTCCATACAAGCAAACCGTGATGTTTTCATGGCATTCAGATCCATTGTCAACAACCTGAAGAGGACCGCTAAGGCAGAAGAGATAAAAGTTACAATAACATCAAGAGGGCACCTGTTCTCTCTGCAGTCCAGGCAATCGAGAGCTGGGAACATTTTCGCTAGGGTCGGCCAAGGGTGAACCAGCTGGTTATTACGAAGGCAAACATATCTGACGCAAGTGGTGCCTGGATGGATGCATTCGAGGTCTTGATCGGTAAGATCGCAGCTTTCGAGATGTAACGTCTACAATTGCTTGACGTATTAAACTTTACTACGAGGCGGAATAATACCCTCCATCTGACATCTACCTCCAACAGTCGGTAGCTCCACAGATTCCGAAGCGCTTCGAGGGCAGCTGCCTTGTCGTTCCTTATCAGTATATCTACCACAGGACCCGACATTCTGTGTTACAATCTATTCCCCAAAAACGAAAATTTCGTCGTGGAATGACAGCTTCTCCATCATTCTTTACGAGCCGAAGATGAAGAAGAAGTAAAGGCTATTCAAGACAAAAGTGAGGGGCATGATCGATGTCATGGTTCAACGATGACTCTTCATTATCTTCTGTTCATAGATCAAAGCACCAACTCAACAGCAATCGTAAGTGTACAAGAGTTGGAATAGACATCGATTATGAATGAATGAGACAGATATAGCAGTGTGCAAACGTCAGTTTAGACAAGAAACCTTGAAACACTGAAAGCATTTCCGGACTTAGAATTAATTTCGATGTGACCTTCTCATGGCAGCACTACTGCCTGCCGCACACCCCGTGCTAGCATTGCCGAACTGCTGCCGTGCTGCTGCAAACATGGTGTAAGCGTACGTTAATTTTGGGTTCTACATACTTGAACTCAGTCCTTTGGGGACGAGCGCTGGTATGCCACCCTTACAGGCGCTCATTCTTTCTAATACAGTGTTCATGACTACAGTCTTCGTATTTTTCAATGCATGAAAACGAGATCACGCACTCAAATTGAAAGCCTCCCCCTTGACCATGCCTCAGCCTTAAAAAAAATAATGTATGTAGGAGTGGAACAGAAGTAACGAGTCATATCAAGTAAATGAGGATTTTCTAAAGCTAAGCAGAGTGGAAAGAGTCCCGAGGTGTGTGGCCAACTTTTCGGGATTCTAAATACTTCCTAGAACATCTGCTCATCTCAGGTTGCGAACGTTAAAAATGGGGAGACAGCCAGCCCAGTAACGAGTTCGACAATGCAGCATTCTGATTCAATTTCACGGTGATTGGGAAATTAAATCCATAGCAAATTCGATTAATTGCCCTGAAACTCAGTACTGAATGCCTCTCAAGCGAACAACACCTTCTCATAATCGAAAAAGCTTACCAATGTATGATGGAGCGATCAACGAAATTTTGATGGCCCTAGGAGGGAGGTCGAAATACTTCTCAGGAGGGGTCGAAACTAATAATAATCTCTTAACCGGACTGTAATATGGCCACCTTCGGCCTAAGGTTTTCGAGCAGGAGCAGGTACGGAAATGCATAAAGTCATCCGAAGTCGGGTTCAAAAAAAGAAACGCGGAAGCTATTATGCCCAGTGCAGAAGTTGTTAGATTCTAAGGCAATATCGATAAACCCGACTGAACCACACGACCGTGACAGCATGTAGAGATGAACCCGTCTGGACCACACAACTGTGACAGCATATAGAGAAATCTCTTATTAAGAGAAATCTCTTATGCAATCTATTACGCTACTGCAATAGCATACGAGATTTCTCAGTGTTCTATTATAATGAATAAAACTTCGTTGGAAAAAACTGCCTGTGGAAGTCAATAATATTAATTCAAAGAGACAGTCAGATGAAATTGGTACATAATCCATAATCGGCCAAAATATCATCAAATCGATCGAAATCATCGGACTGGGGGATGAATGAGAGTACCCGAAATCAGCAAAATCATCAAATCGTAAACTCTGGGGGATGGATGAGAGTACCCGAAATCAGCAAAATCATCGAATCGTAGAGTTGTGGGGGATGGATGAGAGTAACCCGAAATCAGCAAAATCATCGAATCGTAGAGTTGTGGGGGATGAAAAAGAGTACCCGAAGTCAGCAAAATCATCGAATCGTAGAGTTGTGGGGGATGAAAGAGAG